AACCTCAAAACGACTACCCAAACTGTGGTCCCCTCTAATTAATAATTTCCATCGGGAACGGCAAAAAACGACAGACCACCGTTAAATCTAACGCCGTTAGCACAAAAAAACCAAACCAAACTAACCACGCGGAGCAAAGTGTGATAAGCAAATTACCAATGTATATATATAAAATAAAATTAAAAAAAACAATTTTAACCAAAAAAATGTACCAAAAAAAGAAAACCAAAACATGATGCAACTTATTGAAAATTAAAGTTAATAATTAATAAAATAAAATAAAAATATTTCTCTTAATTTTTACATAATTATTTTTTTAAAAATTATTTTTCTTAATAAATTAAGCAAAAGTTGTTCAAAATAATATGACACAGAGTTGTTTGACTCAGCTTATCTGAACATATAGTTTTTTTTTATTTTATTTTGGAAATATGAGTTATGTTTATAATTTAGGGAAAATTAGTCTAGGGTTCCTCTTCCACTTTTTGTAATGAAAGAGAACCACAAAATTATTTTTTGATGTCTAAGGTCCTTAAACATGTATCAGAGAAATTTGGTCAAAGTCAAAGAAGAGGTGGATCGATTGGTCGAAGATGAGATGCGTCGCAGCTCCAAGAAACCCTCCGATTTCCTCAACGACCTCCCTTCTCTTCCCAGCTTCAACTTCTAGGTTCTCTCTCCCAACTAAACATTGTGGATCGATTGGTCGAAGATGAGATATGTCATCGGTCAGCTAATCTTCGGATCGATTGCCGTCGTTCTCGCCGTAACTCAGTCCCCATCGCCATCACCTCTGCCATGGTGGCCATCGCACTCTTAGAGACCGTCATCGGTCAGCTAATCTTCGGATACCTCAGCGATCGTATGGGCCGACAGCGTGTCTACGGCCTCGTACTCATGTACATAGTGCTCAGCTCTATTGGGTGCGGATTCTCTATCTGCACTTCCACAACCTGTGTATTGGTGAGTCTGGATTTTTTCAAGATTGATGATAAGTCGAGTGACAGGTTGAACCCCGGTTTTTTGATGGAACCATGTGATGCTAAACTCTGGGAAGCCAGGTACCCAATGAGTCCATTTGAAGATTTTGATTTTGTGTCAACTGGGAACATGATTGAAGAGATCTTTGGCCCAAACACTGAAACCAGTAAGTTGAGTGATGAAGAAAAGCATTAGATAGTGGCTCATCAGATGATCATTTGAGCTGAATTTTCTCTGGGTTGAAACTAGAGAAATTCTTTGGTTTTTTAACTGAATTTTCTCTGGATTGAAACCAGAGAAATTCTCTAGTTTTCTCTGGATTTCAGTGAATTTCTCTGGGTTAGAGGGCGATTTTCTCTGAGTTTGAGTAAATTTCTCTGGGAGAAGAACCCAAATGTCTGAGTTAGAAGAAGAACCCAAAATGTCATGAGGTTGCTCATAATTCCAGTCACAGCAGCAATAAAGAGAGTAATGGTGCAATGTTGAAGAGAGTAATGGACCAGAGAAGTTTGAATTTTCTCTAGGTTCATTTTGACCGGTTTTTTTCTAGGCGAGCTATTGATGTAAGTTTGATTTCAATTTCAATTTTGATTATGAATTTTAAAGTTTTTTGGTTGATTGTTAGTTATTATAATTAAAAGCAAAGTGACAAGTGGTGGGCGATGTAATTGTTATCAGTGGCGTGCTTGTCATTGGCAACGAAGATGGAGGAATACAGAGTACCATCACCCTCAGAGTTTCAATTGGAATGCAACTTTGAGAGCAAAGTTATTCAGAGAATGGAGCTTTTGGTATTGAATGCATTGGAGTGGAGAATGAGTTCAGTCACTCATTTTGCTTTCATTCATTACTTCATCAGAACCCTTGGGAACCATCACTCTTTACCAAGGAATGTGGTTTCTAGAACTGTACACCTCATTTTGGCTATAATGAGAGGTAAATTTTAGACAGAATTAAATTTTTCTAAATTGAATTTTCTCTGGTTTGGACCAGAGAATTTCTCTGGATCGAATTTTCTCTGGATCGAATTTTATTTGGATTGATGTTGAGAGACCTTAGACATTATAAAAATATTGAGTGCCCTTTATGCTATAAAATCATAATACCAAGGACCTTAAAAAAAAAAACCCTATAATTTATTAGATAGAAATAACTCAAAGAGCTTTTTTTTTTTTTTTTTTGAAAAAAAAGGAGCATAATTTATAATAGTTGAGTAAAAGGTATTTTTTATTTCTATTTTTAAATTATTCACTTTTAATTTACAATAATTTGTACCAAATATCATCACTAGTCACAGATACTTAAAAGAAAAAATTATACATAATTTAAATAAATTATACCAAACAATTTTGATAAAAAAATATAGCAAGCCTAGTATATAGATGACCAAACAAAAAGTAGAAAAATATGTCTCATATAAAGGTGTCGTTTGGGAAGAGCTCATTTGGGCTCTTTTGGCTCTTTGAGCCACAAAAGACAGAATAGGCTATTTGAATCACATCAGACAAAACATTATATCCAACCCATAATCATTACACTCTTCTCTCACAAAAGAAGTTAAAAAAAGTGAAAAAGCTAAAAAGTCCTTTCCAAACCAAGCTTTTGAGCCCAGGCTCAAATAACCAAAGAAATCAAAAAGTCAAAAAGTCAACCCACTTTCCAAACAGAAGCAAAATGAGCCCACAAATTTATATATTTTTAAATATTTGTGTTTCGTTACTTGTATTTTCTAGTAACATTGTTCAAAGAAAAATATTTAAAATTAAAAAATAATTATTAAAATTTTGGATAAATTACAAACACCCCCTTGAGATTTGATAAAAATATAGATTCCCTCCCTAAGATTTGAGAAATTACAAATTGCCCCCTGAGGGTCAAATTTTCATAACAAATTAGGAGAAATTAGGGAGGAATCTGTATGAAAATAAAAACTTCAGGGGACAATTTGTTATGAAAATATAAACCTCAGGGGCAGGATATAATTTCTCAAACCTCAGGAAGGAATCTATATTTTCACCATATCTCGAGGGGATGTTTGTAATTTGCCTTATTTTTTTTTAATAAATGTCTTACGAAATCCATTCTATGCTTATCACATGTGGACCCCACAAGTGACAGCGTTCGGGATGAGGGTTGGCACAGCAAAAACTGTTGTATCTCAATTTGTATTTTATAGTGTTTAAATGTCTTACGAAATCCATTCTATGCTTATCACATGTGGACCCCACAAGTGACAGCGTTCGGGATGAGGGTTGGCACAGCAAAAACTGTTGTATCTCAATTTGTATTTTATAGTGTTACCAAACGATACCTTATGAGTTTATTTTTATGATTTGAGTTGTTTATTTTATAAAATTAATATTTTATATTTATTAATAATCATATTAATCGGATATTAATAATTATATGGTCAAATTATATTTATTATAAAAAAAATAAATAATAAAATTTTCTTTTAAAAAATAACATAAAAAATATGTAATCTGATGACATAATTATTAATATCTAATAAATATAATTTTCGATAGATATAAAATACTTAATAAATTTTACAAAAATAATAGTTATTAATATCTCAATTTGGATTGATGTTTATTAATATCTCAATTTTTGATAGTTATTAATATCTCAATTTGGATTGATGTTTAATTTTATTTTCAAAATCTGTTTATATAAAACACACAAAAACGGTTAATTTATTAAAATAAAATTTAAAAACACTCATTCTTTTCAAAAGAAATTGTTTATACATTTTTTAAAAATATTTTCCACTCCGTTTGTTTGAACAATTTTTTTTTAATATATATTTTCTAATATTTTACAATAAAAAATAAAAGTCATCAAAAAAATAAAATTATAATCAACACAAAATAAGTCTATATAAAAAGAAATTATGTTTTTACTTTTAAAAGGCAGGAAACGTTTTTTGAATTAAAGTTTTAACACTACTATTCTTATCTCCACCACTACACCACCATCACAATGGTTACTGCCACCATTGCCGTCGCTATCGCCGCCACCCCAACACCCCCAACACCACTATGCTACTACCTCCACCTAGGGGTGAACATCGGCTTAGCCCTATCTTTCTAAGGATTGAAAAGGTTGTTTTAGCTTATAAGGTCAACTCAAGCCAATATTTTTAGCCCGAAAAATTAATAGATTGGACTTATTCATACTTGCAACTTAGGCTGACTCATTTGTAGTGATATGTAATAATTGAATTTATTTTAGAAATCTTTCAATTTATATACAACATCTTTCAATTTATAATGATATCAATATATTTATTTAAAAAATATAATGCGTGATTAAATTTAATTATAAAATATTTTTTAAAAAAATATTAACATATAACTTGATAGGTGGATTTGAGATTAAACAAACAAAGGGTGTGTTTGATTTGCTTTTGAGAGAGTGATTTTCAAAAAAAAAAAAAAAAAATTGGAAAGGAAGTTTAGAATTTTTTTTAAAATTTATTTGGTTCTATATTTTGAAAGTAGTTTTGGAGTTTAGGAGTTTGGAATGATATTTTGTTATAATTGAGTAGATATATATGAGAAAAAAAGTAATTGAAAATGAGAGATGAAAAAAAAAAGGTGATTGATTGATGTGTAAGAGAGAAAAAATGATTTTAAATATTTTTTAAAAAAAATCACAAACCAAACAAAATTTTAGAAAAAAATTTCAAAAACAACTCTCTCAAAAGCAAACCAAATAAGCCCAAAATTTCTTATTATATAGTGCCCTTATCCTCTATTTTCATTTTACTACTACCACCACCAAATATAAAAAAAATATTTTCAAAAAAAAAATTTGGTAAAAAATATTTTTCGTCCTAAATTAATTTATAAAACAGATTATCAAACCAAACAGGGAGTATCATAATTTTCAAATCAAACATCAACCTCAACTCGTTTATTGCCGTATGCGAAATGAGAAGGTGGGTGCGAATGCTCCTCAACCCCAACCCCACCATTTTCTCCCCACTCCATTGCTATCTATATATATCCTCTCACTCCCAGCTCTCAGTATCATCACCGTATATGGATTTATGAACATCACACCACAGCAAACAACTCATTTTCATTTTTCTTTTGTTTTTTCAAAACCAAATTTGAAAAACCATCCCCTCCTCTCCATTCCCAATGGGAACAACAAAGAGGGGAGAGAAATAGAAAATTTCAACAACCGAACCCATTTCTTCCATTCTCTCTCTCTCTCTCTCTATTACTCTTTGTTTGATGTTGCACAGATCAATCTCATCATCCCCTTTTCACGTTTTTAGATAATATATATATATATATAGATTCATTCATTAGATAGAAGAATTGCTAGAATTTGAGTTATGGGTACAGAGGTGTTGCGTCCTCAGGATTGTTTGATCGAACGGGTCAGAGTTGCTCCGGCCGTTTTTCACCACCGCCGGAAAAACTTTGTTGTCCCTGGAAGCCAATACCCGAACCCCAACCCTAAGTCCACTAGCCGTAAACCGGCAGTTCGGCCGGAGCAGAGAAAGCGATCCGAACCGTTGATTTCGAATAGATCGGCGAGTTTGGCTGATCTGAAGAAGAGTCACAACCATCTCGTGACGGGACAGGTGACGATTCTCAGGAGAGGCGAGTCACTCGATTCGAAGATCGGAGATCACAACCGTGGCCCGGCGACGAAGAGTTCCGGCGACGATCTGGTTTTGTACGGGTCGAAGATGTTGGGTCCGGATCCGGGAATGGTCCGGAAGGAGATCCAGATCGGAGAACTCAGATCCGTTTCTCTCTCTCCTCCGGTGTTCTCCTCCGTCGACCGGGAGTACGCCGGATCGGCGTTTTCGATGTCGCCGTCGCCGAGATCACTTCCTCTGCCGTCGTTCTTCAACAAGAAGCAAGTCTCGAAGGTCGCCGTCGACGGCGACTCCGCCACCAGAGACCTCCGGCGACTTCTCCGGCTGGACTGAAGCTGAAAAACGCTGTCGTTTTTTCTTCAAGGATTGGTAGATCTAGAAGTATCTAGATCCGTATTTTTATGTGGTATTTTGGTTCGTTCGATTTCGAGGTCTAGCCTTTCCGTTATTTTTTGAAATGGAGAGGGTAAAGGTGTATGAAAGTCGAGATGTGAATCAAGGAGATGGGGTGTTAATGAAAATTATGTTTTAAATGTGGGGTTAATTTAGAATTTTGGAGTTAAAGGAGTTGATCATGGTATGTAGTATGGGAATGGGGGGGGGGGGGGGTTTACATCAGCAATATGAGGAAGTGTGAGGGTGGGGATGTGAAAAATGTTCTTTCTGCTGGTGTTTGTGTTGATGTTGATGTTGAGATTGGGGTCTCATCTGTATCTGTCTTCTCTTATGTTAAATGTATGGTTGAATGTTTTTGGGGGGTTAAATTTGGGCTGAATTTGGTTTTCATTTCATTTTCTCTTTTGTTAAGAGAATTTCTTGTGTAGTTTCTTCCATGATTTTTCTCTATGTAAGTTTGGTCTTTTGTGTACAAAGAAGTAGAGGAATCTCCTCTTCATAATAAATTCATGAATATTTGGGTTTGTCATGTCTCTCTGTCTCTCTTTTTGCTTGTGTTTGTTCTTGTTTGTTGATTGCATATTTTTTTTCAAAGGAAATTAGGGTTGTTTGGAGGGATTTAAATAAGGCCAAAGTTTGGTTAACAAAAAAAAAGTACACTTATTTCATCTTTTTATCTTTTTTGGATCACATTAATCAACATCTTCTCTTTATTTTTTTTACACATAATATAAAAAAAAATCAAAAAGTATACTTATTTAGTCTTCCCAAACTTGTGTATTTTTTTGATCTTTTGCAAAATATGGGTTGAGTTTGAAGTGATGTAGTAAAGAAGTGATGTGATTTAAGTAAGATAGTGATTTTTTTGACTTTTTTAAACAATGTCAAACTTAGCCTAAAAGTTAATTTTTAAATTTTTTTAAAAAAATATGTAAAAAAAATAAGGAAGTGAATTTTTTAAAATAAGTATTGAGAAAATAAAAATTAATTGAGGAAAAAAGTATGATAAGATTATGATTTCATTGTATTTGGATGAAAAATGAAAAAGAAAAAATTGTACGACTTTCATTTCTAATCAATTCCAAGGACTTTTTAAGATAAACAAAACATGAGTTTTAATTAAGATTTTTTCCCCCCCACTAGTTTTCTTTCATTTTGTCATTATGTTTCTCCTTCTCAATTGTTCAAGCCATTCAAGAAGTATTTGAGAGTAATTGTTTTTAAAATTTTTGGCTCATCAAACTCTGAATCCAAACCTTCTAAAAAAAAATCTTAATCCAAACATATTGTCAAGACTGTGTTTCCTATTTTGAATTTGAATTTGAAGAAACAAAGAAAGAGAAATAGCTTATATTTTGATTGTTTGGGAACTTAGTTTTTTTTTTTTTTCACTACAAGACAAACGTTTTATAAAATAAAAAAAAATAAAAATAAATCCAAATAAAATATCACATCAAATCGCATAATCATTTTACTTTTTCTCTCACAAATATCACATCCAACTACAAAAAAATTTAACTATCTTTTCAAACATAAAAAAAATTTCTCTAATAATATCCTACAATTAAAAAACCTATAAAAAAAAAGAAAAATGTTTGGGGGCCCTAATTCTGTGGCTCAAATGTGGCTCAAATGGCCAAAACGACGTCGTTTTGGCCATTTTGATGTTGTTTTGTACTCAAAACGACGTCGTTTTGGCTATTTGAGCCATATTTGAGCCACAGAATTTGGGCCCTCTACCATTGCTCTAAAAAAAATCCACTTCCCAAATATCCACAGAGTTAAAAGTTTTGATTTAGGAGAGTGATTCCTTTGATTTATTGAAATAGCTTATATTGGGTTTTCTATTACAAATATAAAAAACATCTTAAATTATGTCACATCATCAATTAGTACATTAATTAATACACTAATTAAAATATTAATTGGTCCATATAGGCTATAGCATTATTCTAACAAAATTGATGAATCCAATTTTGGTGAAATTGGAAATTGAAGCCAAGTTCATAGTGGGAAAATTCACATGGTTTAAAGCAATGTCATAATGGCCTATGAACAAGTTAAAAATTAATAATTAAAAAGTTAAAATTAAAAGTATTATTTTTTATATTTTAGATAATTAATTTTTTTAAATTTTTTTAAATTAGTTTTTGTCTAATAAATTGTACGTATAAAAATTATATCAAATAATCTAATATAAATTCTAAAATTAAAATAAATTATATAAGCAACAACAAACTGACCAATGCGAGTAGTTTTGTTCTGGTATTGAATAAAACCACGGTCTAGTTTTCATTTTATGAGACGAGACCATAGATTTTTGGCTGGCTGGTATTTGACTATTTGAAGCTTTGAATATAAGGAAAATGTTTGAAATTCTTAAAAAAAAATTTAATTTATATATAATGATGTAATTTGATCAGTGTTATTTTTTAATTGATTATATATTTAGTTATGTGAAATTTATCATATTTATCACATTATTATAAATGTATTTATAAGTATTATCTCCATTTCAAAATATTAGTCTCTTATTACATTTTTTATTGTATCAAATATTAGTCTTTTTCAAAAATTAAGGATTAAAATAATATAAATTTCTTATTTTGTTATTCTTTTAAATTCATTAACAACACAAAAAGTAAAATTATAAAAACTAATATTTTCAAAAAAATGTAAAATCAAAGGATAATTTTGAAAAATTAATATTTTTAAAATATAATAATTGTGCTACTAAAAAAAATAAATTCCCTAAAAAAGACTATTATTTTAAAACGAAAGAAGTACAAAATATGTGTGTTTTAACATTGTTTTTTCTTTCTTTTTTTTAACAAGAAAAAATGATGCTATGAGGTATCATCATGGTATCCGTAAACCCAGGTCTTAAGTAGTCAGTTGCCAACTTAATTTAACCCAATTCATAAAAAGTAACTCACCACCAAAACATTAATAAAATTCAACCATATACGACAAGCGAGCTCATACGCAACTGAGTGCCGTTTTGGAAAATTTGGTAAAACGCCACGTTTTTTATCCAAGGGAAAAAAAAGGCTTCTGGCCAAAAACGCCACAAAATTCATTTGGGAAACCAAAAAACGCAACTGTTGAAATTACAAATTGGAGCCTATGACAAAAAAGTAAAATAGTAAAAAACAAATGTTGGATAAGAATATTTTGGTCATTTTAATTTGATTAGACACCATAAACAAATATTAAACCAAAAAGTCAAAAGTCAACTTTTCACTAACTTTTCAAATCACTTTCCAAAAAGTTAAAAAACTTGATAAAAAGACAAAAATCAACTTTTTATCAATTTTCCAAAACACTCCTAAATCTTTTAGAACACGGGATCCCTACTGAGAGGGTGATTTATGATCTGGAGTTGGGCCGAGGTATCGACCGAGCAGGTTGAGGGCCCAGCAGTGCATTGGGCCGAGATGATCGACTGTTCGCCCAGAGAAGGGCTGCCAGAACTTGGGCCGGGCAGAACTTGGTCCGAGTGCGTCCCGCCCAAGACCGTAAAGAAGCAGCTCGGTAAGGCAGAGCTCGGTCGGACCAGGATGCTCGGTCCGAGATTAGCCGAAGCCAGACAAGCCGAGTGACCGGCGCCCGGAATGGCACGGTCGGCCGAGGTTAACGTTTGACCGACGTGAAAGCTGACCACGGGGTGCTTCGGGCTAGGCTTTGCCGAGATGCCGCCTAGCCCGGTCCCCCCTTGGAGTTTGCCAGGGAAGCGCTTGGGTATGAAGCACAGCACGGCGCAGCAACGCATAGGGCAGCTCGGCTGCCGAGCTCCAGCTGTGATGACAGGCAGATGAGATTAGGTGATGTTCAGCAAGGTTTGTACTGACAGATGGGATAGCAGAGCCACGTGTCAGGAAATGACTGGGAGTGGATATGGGGCGCAGAAGGTATATAAGCATGTCTGCGCCCCCCATACGCGACACGCGAACATCTCTGTAAGGACTTCTTACACTCAAACACTCTCTCCCTTCTCTCTATCCATCCTAAGGTGTGTGCTAACTTGACCGTCGGAGGGTTTTTCCGGCCACACACCGCCGGGTAGCTCACCATTACTTGTTCGCAGGTGATCGGACATCGACGGAGCTCGGAAGAAAGGAATACGGGCTTGCCGGAATATTTGCTCCCCGTACAATTGGCGCCGTCTGTGGAAAGCTTTTCAGACAAAACCTTGTCTTCCAGGTTCGTTTGATCGCCGTCCATGGCGAACAACGACGAGTTTCTGTTGTCCGCCATCGACGGAGCCACCCCGGAGTATACCCGAAGGAGAGGGGGACCTCCTGCCGTCCATCCAATGGCTGACTTGGGGACGCCCACTGAAGGACAGTTAGGAGACGCACGGGATAAGCGCGAAAGGAGTCATGGTCATTCACGGAGTCCAGACGGTCACCGGCGGAGGAGAGACTCGCACGCCAGGCGACTGGAAAACAAGTTGAGGGACCAAGACGCTGTCATCAGGCGGATGGCGGCGTAGATGGAGGATCTTAAGCAGCATGTCAAAGGGAAAGGTGTAGCTGGAGTGGGAGACCACAGTGAGCGCACCCCATCCCGCCGGTCAGGTGATCAGAGTCAGCGACGTACTCAGTCCATTTCCATCACCAGGAGTTACCAGGTTGGTGATTCCGACATGCGTGCAGAAAAGTCTAGCGCGCAAGACAGCACCTACAAACCCTCACATCCGGAGACGACGTCGAGGTACTCTTACTCTGCTCAGTCAGAGGATCTAATTGGATATTGTGATGCTAATTGGATATCGGATACTAAAGATTCAAGATCCACTAGTGGATATGTCTTTACTCTAGGAGGCGCTGCTGTTTCTTGGAAATC